CCCAGTCTGCGCGTGACCCCTGTCCTCTTGGATACCGTTACACATACTGGAAGACTACCCTTTGTCTTCCCCCCCGAAATTTCACAACATATGCCTCTATCTCCTAGTCCTAATTCGCAAGGCCGCTTAGTCAAGTATGGCACGACATGGCGTGCATTCGAGGACTGACAGGACTTCAGGGGCCATCGGGCCAAAGGCTTGTAGTAGCGCCGCCGGACACTAGGGGCCGCCGGCACATAGAGAGAGTACATATGGTACAATAGTCTGCTAGCCTCGGAAAGTAAAAGGGCATCGCTTTGAACACCGCACTCGATACTGAGTGTTGGCAATAAGTCACAATCACTACAAAAGGACTCATCAACGACGTTTGCGACAGAGAAACTATCCACTCTATTCAGCTGACAAGAAATACTTCCTCCCAAGAACGCGTTCTTCTTTGAAGCACCAATATTGAACATGATCCGTGTCGTCCTACTTCTTTCCGTGGCGATCACTTTATCATTCTCAAAGGGATACAGGAGCAAGGCCGGGTCTTATAATTTCAATATCGGCGCCATTCGCGGTCAAATCGTCTCCAACGGACCGACTGTCACCCCTATTCAACTATTTTCACCTCCGGATAAGGTTGTGTTCCGTGAGTACAAGAAATGCTCTCGCTCCAGCAATCCTTTCTTCTTTGGACAAAACGTCGTCATTCTTGACATGCCGAGCGGAAAGCGAGTCATGGTCGACACGGGAGCCAGACCCAATCCGTTATTTCCATCCTTTGCAAAAACTGGGAAGTTATTTCGGAACCTTCGGGTTGCAGGAGTACAAGCAAAGACCATAGTCGCTGTTGTTCTGACGCATGGACATATAGATCATGTCAACGGGCTCCTGCTAGATGACGGACGGGCTGCTTTTCCTAAGGCGGACGTCTACATAGGTCAGGCAGAGCATAGGTTTTGGACTGCGTCAGAACCGGATCCCAGCGCTAGGATAAAACCCGAGCTTTTTGGTATGTTTAATCCACTCACTTCTTATCCTATTCGCTACTCTGAACCTGATATCTGACCATCTCGATGTAATTTGCAGTGGCTATTGCAACCGTGTATTCCAAGAGCATTGCTCCCTATGTGGCGAAATCTAGATTTCACGTTGTTCCGGGCAAGGCGCTTCCACTAGCTGGACTTCGTTTCTTCCCGACGCCTGGACACAGCCCTGGTCATAACTCTATCGTGGCTTCTGCAGGCAATGACATCTTGGTCATTTCTGGCGATGCATGGGTTTCAAAGGTATGCAGCATATCCGCTTTCCTCGTCCTCGCTACGATACCTACTATTTTGTTGGTCCTGCTTCTCAATCCTTTGCAATATTATAATTCTAACAACATTCTGACGATCCCTCTTTTCTGAATTCATCTCATTCTGTAAAACCTTTTAGCCTGATCAAGTGCGGCACCCATCATGGTCATTTGTCTTTGACTCAGACCCTGACCGCGCCATTCGATCCCGCCGCAGACTCCTAGAAATGGTTGCTAGAAGAAGGTACCCCGTCATTTCTTTTCATGAGTCATTTCCAGGGCTTGGACACGTAAGTGTTTCGAGTGGGCAGTTCGATTGGATACCAGCGACAATGGGTGCCCGTGGAGTGGGTGTGGCTCGAAAATGATAAGGACTTCTTCCCATGTTCAAGAGCTGCTTAATCTCGAGGTCCTTTAAGTTTAAATTCTGTTCGACAGCAATAGGAGGGAATTCTAAAAAATTCTAAATCAACTTTATTGACCAAATCTATGCGGGAAGGGTTCATAATATGATGTATTTTTGCACGTGTCCACGTACCACGAGTGTAGAATCAGCGGTGATGAAGTCGTTGGGCCCCTCCTCGACTCGACTGAATTGTGAATACTTGTCCTTGGCAATGAAATCTTGCAGAATGCCGAGAAAGTAGTTTTGAATGCATCGAGAGACTAAAAAAGTAATGCAGATTTAGTACCCAATTGCTTTTTTAAGCTGGTATTTTTGGTTTCGCAGTTATTTTACACGAAGTTTCAAGGTTGCTTAAAAGCTTCTTTTCCAGGCATTTCTAAAGACGACCAGGAAGAACATGCAACTCTCAAAAAGTTCTTTTCTGGCCCAGGGCAGAATTCAAGTACTGTGGTGGGGTTATCTTTTTCCTTCTTGTGGAGGAAGCGCAAGTCGAGAAAAAAAAAAGTCAAAAAGTGTCCCCATGTGAGAACAACTGTCCGATAGATACTAGAGTGAACAATTAGTAAGACAAGGTCGGAATACAAGCCATTCAAACTCTTTCCTAGAAAACTTCCTTTTCTAGAGGAATGAACATAATAGTTGTCCTGTGAGCAATTACATTGCGAGGCGGTCGTGACCAAAAAGAATAAAGTGAAAACCATGAAACATAAAAGTATATGTACTGTGCAGTACGCATATGTTGGGGCTGAAGAAACTGGCGTTGTCGTTAATTGCAAACCTTGTGAAGAATCGATGGGTTTTAAGCCTCTTTCGTGCGTATATTTTCTGCAAGCGGCCGTTAAGGCACCGGTGCCAATGGAAGGCATAGCAGTTGAAAGGCTTTCACAAAGATTTTGCAAAGCCAGAAGAGTTGAATTAGTATTAAAATTGTTCACCTTAATTTCGCAGTGGTTTTTTCTCACTAATCCTGTCTAGTCTTGGTATGTAAGATCTCCACAGAGTGGTACCGAAACTTGTTCCTCTCTTTCGTATATAAAGATTACTCAATGCTTGTTTCGAGACTCTGACTTCTCTCATCTCAACAAAATTACTCGATATTCAAAATGATGATTGCAACTATTGATCATGTAAGCAAGCCTAGAGGCAACCTTCGCAGACAAATTCGCAATGCTGCACATGAACTTCGACTAGTTCCAGAAATGCTTGCCAAAATTTTCTCACTCGCTGTTCAAGTTGGAAGGGGTTTCCCCAAACCGCACATTGCGTGTGAGCAAGATTGCGTCGGCTTAGTTATCAAAAACCGATGGGAGCTGGGGACGGTGATTGGACGCGGTTCTTTTGGTACAGCCTATGAGGCACGCGACATTAATACAGGCCGTATGTGCGTTGTTAAGATAGAACCGGAACGGACCTCCAGCGGGTTTAAGAGTGAAGTCGAGGTTTTTGAAAAGCTGGGGACAGTCCCAAAGCCTATTTGCGGGATCCCACAAGTATATGACTATGGGTCGGATCAAAAGATGAACTTTATTGCCATGGAAAAACTCGGCGATTCTTTAGAAAAAATGATGAGAAATGGGCGATATTTTTCAGCGAAATCCATTCTCAAGTTCGGGATCCAGGCAATCCGAAGGATCAGGGCTCTTCATGAACTAGGATATGTTCATAGTGATATTAAGCCGGAAAACTTTTTGATCGGAGACACGGACCCCAACTGCATACATTTGATCGACTTTGGTCTTTCAAGGCAATTTATAAACACAACGACTGGCGAGTTTAGAAGTCCGTATCAGCCAAAGTATCGAGGAACGGCAGCGTACTGCTCTCTATTCGTGAACATGGGATACGAGCATGCGCGGCGAGATGATTTAATCAGTTTAGGGCATACAATGATAAATATATTGGAGAGAAACCAGCTCCCGTGGTTTGGCACTTTGCGGGACTATCTGCGGCTGGTGAGGGAAAGCGATAGCATAGAAAATAGATCTAGACCTCTTCACAAAATCGCCGCTGCAGCGCAAAAAGCGACATCGATAGAAGAACTCTGCCATCGCATGCCAATGATGCAGAGATTCTTTGAATACTTATATGGTTTGAACTACGAAGACAGGCCGGAATACGAATATCTTGAAGGGATCCTTTCCAATGGTCTTGCAAGCTTTGAAGCAGACCTTTCCAACAATCTAATCACATGACCCTTGAAGCAAAAGGATGTGGATCGTGGGAGCTGCAAAATAAACGAATGACAAGTGTATCGTACAATATATCCAGTCTTCCATACTTTCTCCCAACATCTGGAATATCTCCTTTCATTTCGAATCACTGACCAAGTAAAGAAAAATCTCAT